TTTTTTTTATATTAAAAATTTGATTTATTAAATTTCCGATTAGAAATCACGTCATAAAGCGACAATATATAATTTGGCATTATAAAATCATTACAAATTTCACAACAATGCACATACTTAAAAGTCATTAAACGTACACAAACATACATATGTATTTTGCAACAAATAAATCGTTATAATAAAAACTAACAATTTAATAATAAAAGCAAAGCGCGTCAGTTCAGCTATGAGCTCATACTGCAGCATAACTAGCACGAAAAAAAAACAAATAAATAAAATAAAAAAATAAGAACAAGAAAGCGACGAAAAATTGATTTATTATTTAGTTATGTAATAAGCACAGCAACAATTTGCAACAACAAATATATACACAACAAACAAACATACATAAATACAAAATATAAACATACATACTTACACATAAATATACATATATAGAAATAGCGATATGTGTAAATTTAAGTTCAAATAACGCTACTAGGCTAAAATGTATAGCATACATTTAAGATCATAAGCAATTATTATAAAGCATATATTTTACAATTAATATTCTAGTTATAGAAGATGTGAAAAGTAAATTCTAATTATTATTGTAATGACTAACATTATTGTGAAAGCGTAACAAAATACAAAAATACAAGCTGTAGAAAACTAAAATACATTGCATATAAGGATTTGCGTTAGCGCAACAACAACAAAAAATATATATATACATACACGAAACAAAATCAAAGTAAATTCAATTACAACCATACACACAAATAGTAAGGATTTAAAAATTTCATTAAATTACACAGAGAGCCACACACACACACGCRCATATAGATGCGTTCAATCCCTCAGAAATAATTTGGGTTTGCGGTGTGAAAACAAAAGAAAGCAAAAAAAAAAAATTATTTAATTTATTGTACGGTCATTTTTATGCCTAAGGAATACTTAAATGCAACATGAAAGAATTATTAATGAAAACAAAAACAATTACAGCAATAAATCTCAGAAATGTCTTCAAAAATCCTAATAAAATATGCGTTTGATTCAAAAGTCTTTTAATAGAGCAGTAAAATCTTAAAATTGTTATAACCTGCCTTACAAACTGAACGGACAAAATCGAGAAGCCGTTTTATTCGACAAACTGCCTTCACGAAACTTTTTATGGAATATTATGTTATGGTTGTTGTGGTTATCCGCTTGAGGGGTAAGGTGCAAAGTGGTTGTCATCGTAGTCAGAGGGGGGGTTACATTAGTGGGGTTTGCTGGGCATGCAAAGAGGGAATTAGAGGGGGCTCGTTGTATGCTAGACATAGTGTCGGCTTCGATTTTGTATAAGTAGGGGTTCAAACTGCTACAGTATCCAGAACGTAGCTGCGCAAGGATTCTCGTAGCGTCATCTCGTTCGTTTTGCTTACACCTAATAAGATAAAAAAAAAACATCCAAGCAGAAATTGCTTGGAGAGAAGTTCGTTGTGTTCCTTAACCAGAAGCATACGGTCCTAGCTTTGTAAGACTTCGACCGGGGACATAAAGAGACATCCTTTTAGTTCGGAGTGCAGTGAATTGACGTAACTACGTATTGCTTCTTTGTCTGCGTTTTACCGCATGTAAGCGACGATATCGGTGCGGCGTAGTTTAAGAACAGCCGGCCGATTCTCTTGTTGGTTGCCAACAGCGGCTCTGTACTTTGACTGTTATCGCGGTCGTATGAGGAGTGAAGGAGTGTTACGTACGAAATGTTAGGATTATGAACAGTCGGAATTTTAACGTCATCGACTGCAATGTTAAGATATAGTCTGTAGTTCTTCGTTTAGCTCGTGAATATAGGCTCTGTGGATTTAGTTCGTCCAACTGTATTCGACAAATAAGCTGGTGCGTGTTCCTTATCAGTACTTCGCCGCCGTGTATGAATAGGTCGGCCGGCAATGCATCGACCCTTGCCACTTTGTTGTTCTTCAGACGGGTAATTGCCATTCGAACTTCTTCAAGGTCGGGCAATAGAACGTCCGCTCCATCGTCACCGATTGGGAAATCGTATTCCCCACATAATTTTAGTATGCTCTGGGCATCAGTTATTAAATCACCTCTGGGACTTCTATAAGAGTATGCTCGGGTCTTGAAACCTTTTGTTAGTTGCCGCATCTTTTCGTAGAAATTTCGAGTATTGCTCCTGTCGGCTAACTTGTCATGCTCTTCGTTATCCTTATACCAAGTTGCTGATGAGTGCTCACAAAGAGCAGGAGAGCAAGTCGAGTAGGAAACCGTTTCGCTATCAGTTGTGATAGTGTCCTTTCTCCCGCCACGTATTAAACACCGAATTTGTGCTCACAAAAGAATTTTTCACTGCACTAATGTGACTTGCAACTGTGGTTGGTTTGTAAACCTAAAAACGCTATCTCCAAACACGCATTCAGTGAAGCAGGGATTAGCTTTCCACTCGGTGAGCTAAGATTCTCCCAACCCTAACACACCGCCAGATGTGCTCTGCAGGGTCCTTTTGCTAAAATAGATTTAGACAGCTTTCAAGCAATGCCAACAAATACCTGTAGTCTGAGTCGATAAACTATTGTTTTATAATTTAAAAAATTTTGGAATTGTTCGGCTGTTAATATAGTGTGCACATGATGGCTGGAACACTTATATATATAATCCATCAATCAGCCTTATTCAGCAAACTCTTGGCATCTTTTGAAGCTATTGAAATGTCAGCTAACTATTTTAAACACAGTACGCTTTCCACTTCAGTTGACTAAACAACAATATATTTATTGAAGCCACTGAATTATAGAAGTTGCGGAAATGAAGACTCAAATGCTCGAAAATTTGCCTGAGCTTGACATATGAACGGAAAATGGTCATTGACATCTCATCAACCTAAATAGTATTTTCCGCAATATTTACCCATAAGAATTCAAAATATTGTATGTTTTGTTTGCCTAACTGTTCTTTGTAACCAGATCAAATAATTAATTATGCTTGTCTTGCCATTCACGTGACAAATGAAGTACATTCAGAAAAGTTCACAAAATTAAAACAATAACAAGCTCGAATGGTTTGCCATACATTAGTTAGACGCAAAACTAAGAAGGAGCTGTGGGGGAGCGTATAAAATATATATGTATAAAAATGATCAGCGTGACAAGCTGTCACTTTGTCAATTTAGTCTTATACATCTGTCTGTTCGTCTATATACACGCGAACTAATCCCTAAGTTCTTTAGATATCGATCTTCGGCACACGTTCTTCACCAAGAAGCTGCTCATTTGTCAGAACCGCCGTTTTCGAACCACTATTAACGAATGAATGAATCAAGTTGTTAAAACTTTTTTAATTATTTTCGCTAAATTTGGTACGTGATATTCTAGGTACATGCCTCTAAATCATAGTCCTTATTACGTTTGCTGTGGTCGTCATTAAAAGTGGGGTCTTTGAACCGAGGCTGTTGCATCCTTTTCCATAGTTTATAATTATTTCGGAAAAATTTTTACAGATAGTGGAAAACGGAATAAATTATTTCAAATATATTTTGGTCAATATTTCGAAATAATTATATTACAACAAAATGAAATTTTTTTTGAAGTTGTGGCGAAAACTACTGGTATTAGACGAAGCAAGCCCGATTAGTTCATGTTAGCAAGTCCCAATGGAGTTTAACCGGTTACTTGAGTTACCTCGGGTAAAAACCAGCCTTTTTCGACTATTTTTTTGTCATATAAAAAATGAAATATTTTATTAGATTTTTTTATTATTACAATAATAGACTATTAACAGACAAACTCTGAAATTTTTGGAAAAAAATGAAAAAAAAACTGAAAATTGTATTTTTGGCAGACATTGTTATTGATTTTGTTTTCAAATAATTCTAATCGAAAAAAAAAAATTCCTTCGTCTAAGTCCTTAAGAAGACTGTGTTTCATAAAGATCGCTTGAGTGGTTTTCGAGAAATCTTGCCAACCGACTCCCAAAACACAGCTTCGAGAAAAACGTGTTTAAAGACGACGCGCTTAGCCTAGCTAGCCTCAAGCGCACAAGTTCTCAAGGCTGTACTTTCGAAACTAATACTCAGATCAACTTGAAAATTTAGGACAATATTCTTTGGGTTTTGTAGAATTTAACAAGGCAATAAAAAAATTCGGTTTGTTAAAACCCCATGTAACCCTCTAAATATAAATAACAAGTAGATGTAGATATATGTATAATATAACTTCTTTATTTAATTAATATTATTTTTTACCGAAATCACAAAAGCTTTGCTATTAAGTGGATTATTTATTACAAGCTCTCAAGTTTTTATCGAAAAATGTGTTTTGCTGAGATGACAAGATGATGAAATATCAAGATACATTTATTTTCTCACAATAGTGTTCTTGTAGACCTCGGAGATCATACCGGGATTGTGTAATCCATAAACGGGCGACTGATTAACTTGTAAAGTACCAAAAACAATGGCTTATTGGACTCGGGTTAACTTTTCGTCAAACAATTTTTTGATTTAGTTACTAATTAATTCTTTCACTCAAGTAAGTTGATTTAAACTTTAACTTTAGTGACTAATAATAAGCTCTTATACTGTGTTAAGCTTTGCATTCGGTTCAGAATGACCGTTATTTTCCCATGCATAGTAATGAATAAAAACGTATTAAAAAGCTCGTACTCATAACATTTTTCGGTTCTTAAGCCATGGTGTGCCGAGTACTTGTGATCCAAGTGGTAATGACACTTGTTGAAAACGTTCCGATCAAAATATTGATTTCCACAGGCTTGCATATTGCAGCGTCACCAACCAATCTATCAACAAAAGGTACGGCACTCTGAAAATCTGCGTATTCTTCGTCTGAGTCCCTCGATACCATCGCAGAAAATACTGTACGATTACTGAACGGCAACAAAGGATGATGACTGTAGATCATTGGTGTCATATCATGCGCTTGGATTTTTCGAAAATAATCAATCTATATAATAAGATATACGAGATAGATAAAGAAAGAAAATTAAAGTCCATAAGGAAGGTCTAAATTCTTACTATACAGAATATTAAAATATCCTAAATGTTTACAAAGTTTTATTATAAACGAATGGTGTGCTTGCACTGTTAAACGATAATGATAGCAAGTCAAGAAGAAAGGTGAGAAACGCTATATATTCAGTCAAGACATTAGTAAGCTAAGCGTTCTATTCTCAACTCTTGTTGTAGAGACTTTAATGTCTCTAATCTATATGTACTTATAGATCAGTACAGCTCAAAAAGAGCCACGGAAAGAATAATATTGCGTATATTATATAGGAACTAAAGGAAGGCTTATTTATAAGGGTTTTGACATGTTACTGAAGAAATATGGACCTATGATTCCACGGGTCGACAAACTAAGCCAAATCGTTGCTTTTACTGGATGAAACGGCAGCTCTTGAATCTCTTCGTCTTAAATGCGGCTATTTTGCTTGTTGACATACCCAATGAGCCAGATACGGGCCACATATCTGAATTAAATTTCGCTCGAAAACGTCTGATCTTCTTGGAAATTTTCACGACCCTATAAAACGAAGCGATGCCACTCGGGAAGGTCGAGCGCTTTTAACTTAAAATCTGAACATAAAATGCGCCAACTCGTTCCATACGTCCGTCGAGTTGTTGCGAACGGTGCCGAGTCACTTTCCACGATCTTCGTGCACACTCTCAGCTACGGCTACAATATTTTCTTCACTGCATGCTGGACGTCAATAATGAATGCTGGATATCATTCGATCAATCAATTTGAGCGAAGCGCGCGGAACACATTCTTTACAGAACGTGAATTTTCGTAATAATGTTCAACGATTTGTATACGACCCACGAGTGATCTGTCAACAAAATGCAATTGAAAAAAAGTACCTCTACTTGGATCACCCGTTTATATGGTCCGTCACATCCGACATAAAGTGAACTAATACTATAGATGAAGAATATCTAATACTGAAAGATCTGATTAGTTTATGTTCTTTTAGTTAATTAGCGTTTAACTTCATTTCAACCCACACAAACTAAGAGAGGGTGTCACCAATTCAAACAACTTTCGATATAAATAATTTGAATGTGCGGTGCATTGTACTTTTGTTGTTGTGATTTGGAAATCAACAAATTCGTCCATATTTTAAAGACACATACATATATCGTTAAATTGACAATTGTACACTTTGACCTGGTCTTCTCTGAGACTTAGCGCTGGCTTAACCCTTACGTATATAGTATGAAAGAATATTTTAAACCATACAAGCATACCTGTTTTTCAGAAATATGAATTTGGTCATTAAAATCAATCCAGATAACGTCTCTGCTGCATGGTGGCATCGTCATTGAACCGGTATACGTATAATAGTTATTGATATCATAAACAATAAAATCCCACAGCTTTACTGGACTGCGGAACTTAGCGACTGCTCCTGGCCGTACAACATCCTCTATTATCTCAATAAATGCATCATAAAGAAAGCTATCTTTTTGTGTCACCTAAAAATAAATACGCAAGAAAAGCATAAATTTCAATCACGAAATTTTCGAATAGCGAATTAGTAAACCTTATAGTGATAGGCTAAAACTGCCACCCCGTTACTTTCTTTCGCTGCTTCGGAAAATGTGCGATATTTGGCATTTCTGAAAATCATATGCAACTCAGCTGGAAAAAAGACAGTATTGGTGCGATTTTCATGGCCGAATGTGTCATTGCCCATCCAATGAAAATATAATTTCTCGAAGTAAAACTTCTCTTTTAGTGGTCCGCCCCTTATAGCTGGTTGCTCATCGTCATATAAAAACCGGAAAACAATGGTGTCTCCAGTATTTACAAGTTCAGCTATATCTGGCTGCTTTTGAAAGGCAAACATTGCAAATGGTGGAACAGTTTTATTAACTATGTCCACAGAGTCGATATTTAATGGACTGTGATGTTTACCGGTGCACTTGGCCGCTGAAAAATAATTAAAAATTAATTATTCAGTAGTTTTATTTTAGTAAAGTTCAAACACAAATGAATTTAATATATTCGCTGATGGATTTGTATAACAAAATCTTAACTGGCGGTGACTACTATAAAAAGAACAATTTGTCATAATTTTATACATCCGGAGCGATGTGTCTATAGAAATCTGAATACACAGACGGACATCTAAACAATATTTATTACTCCCAAAGACGTTGAAAAAATCGTTTATGTGGTTTGTTTCATTACTTAGGGTGACATTAGTCCTAAGCAAAGAGTCCTAAAATTTGAGGACTCCGAGGCCAAAGAACGAAGTGAAGAAAGGTTTCGCTATCTTATAACCACACACCACAGAGTTTAAAAAGCTTTGAGTATAAACACTTCTTGCTGATTAAAGTTAGAGAGAAAAATTCAAGAGACAAGGATTAATATAAATTTCATATAGTTCCAAATTATGTAATTGAGAAAGATCCGTAATTTATATAGCAAAATATGAATATTCATTGTGACCAATAACTTCATCGAATATTTAAATTTATGTTGTGTTATGAAGCTCCAGTCTTGGCGTTCTGTATCGACCGGAGGAAATGTTAGTCAAAAGGCAAGAGATCTAATGGCTCGCTTCAATTTGGTGACTTGCTAGCGTTCTTTATTAAAGATTTCATACGCTTTTAGAAGGTAATAATACAGCACGACTACCTACTTTTTTGTAGCATTTCTGACGTGCATAATCGGCTTTCAACGTCTAATGCTTTAGCTCATATAATGCTTGGCTTCCTTGCTTTTGAATGAAATATTTATTTAGTCGCCTTCAGCAGATGCAATATACTTATGCCAACGATTGTCCAGTCTTCGAACCACATTTCATAAGCACTTTTTGGGATGGCCTGCGACCGTTCAGCGAATGTTGTTTTATCTCTGGGTCAAACTACGTCAAGTGGTCTACGAAAATTTCGAAATATCATCGATTTTGAAAATTAGCAGTTCATTAGGAAGGGCACCAAACGCATACCCAGTGGTATACATATTTCGTCAAAATTCTTTTTTGTTAAATGTTAAAGTTATTGAAGGTTGAAATTTAGAGCATGATAAAATTGTAAATTTTTTTTCTCAAAAACTTCTAGAGATAAATCGATGAAATTTTGTGAAGTCAAAGAAAAATGATATTTTATAGATATTTTTTCACGATCTATTTGTTTAAATAATAAAATTTTACATACTTTTTTGTTTAAAGTGTTCTTCGCGCTAAAAAAAACCGCAAAGTATGTGACACAACACAGAAAACATTCACCTTTAATAATCTGCAAAAAAATTTTTGTTCATTCATACCATTCCAAGGATATTGAATTTTTTGTCTCCCTATATCTATTAAAACGTACCCAACATACAAAATCATTCGAACAGACTCTCGAGAGATGTCGAGCTCTGTAATATTTTCATCAGTTTTTTAATATTTGCATCAGTTGAAAAGATCGATGATCGTCCAGAACGAGTTAACAACGAACTCTCGACCGTCTTTGAAGACAATACACATGCTAATATTGAAAATTCTAAAACAACAATGAATTTTTAAAGATATTTATTTACAAAGCGAGAGTAAACATATTCAGAAACCAATTTGAGTTTATTACATAATTTTCTCTAAAACATCACAAAATTAACATACATACATACATATACTTAAGTATATAAATATATTTGCATTTAACTTAATCATCAGAGAATTTGTATGCTGTGAGGATACTGCTTTCAATTAATTGTAACTAAAACTACACGAATGTATGCATGTATGTATGTACAGCGGCTATAACCTTGTAAGAGGTGTATAAGCCATTAGAGAAGAGATGTACATATGAACTTAATTAACAATTACATTATTTAATATACTGGTGAAAGTGCCATATGTATTTATAATATATTATTAATAGTAACAAATGGGAGAATGTGTGTTAATTAGGGTGGTTCTTAAAAAATAATGCATACAATGCTTTTTAAATTCAATGCCCTCAGGCGATAATATCAGGCTCAAGAGCGTCACATACATGCTTTTTCGGACAGGAGACGATTAAAAGTTTGTAGACAACAAAATTTATGTGGCAGCTTCGATTTTATTTAAGGCTCATCTGAATCAATTCCAGCGTAATAATTTATACTAAGCACACGGGATATTTGTCTACTTGCAATACTGATAGTTTGGTGAGCGTCGAATTTGGCAAATAATAACTGTTACACAACTAACCACACAAATATAGTTGGTATTACATCTTAGATACATATGTATGTACTCGTATATGCTATTAATGCATTAGATTTAAGAAAACTTATTAATTTTTATTCACACAGCGTTCAACAAACTCAATGAAAGCATTATGGTTGCAACACCGACCACAAAAGGTTTCTGCATCGTGGCACCGCCAACCATATTATCTACAAAAGGTATATCACTGGGCGGCTGTTTGATGCGACGGTTTGGCTCTCTCAGCGTCAGCGAAGAATAGACGGTGCGATCATTAAGCGGCTGAAGTGGGCGGTAATTGTGTGTCATTGGCGAATTGTCGTTAGTGTGGAGATGACGGAAACGCTCGATCTGAATGACAAATAGAAGTGATAAAAAAATAAAGATAATAAAATTGTAAAAAAAAAAAAACAATAAGTTGATGTTAGTTAAGAGATTAATTAAGAACTAAAACTTAATAGTCTTAACTAAATATTGTAGGAATAAAAATAAATTAGATAATTACGGAGTGAGCCTAAAATAAAACTATGGTTTATTTATCGATAACATATCGATAAATGGCCAAAGAGATCTATGAGTCCTTTATTATATTATTCATATATAATTTAGTTTGAGTCGAAGTCGAACCTCCTTAAACTTTCGAGCACTAAGTAAGACAAAGTTGTAGCTACAAACTTATGATTATCTAGTATGTTCTATCAAAATAATTCTTTTGTTGTTTTACTAAATAAGATTAAGGAGCAGCTATGTTCCACACAAGCCTATGAGTGGTAAAAAGCTTTCGAAGACGATCAAGAGATCGGTAAAGACATGCTTGCCTCTGGACGATCTTCGACCTATTTAACTGATGACAATCTTAAAGAAGTAAAAAGGATGCTGCTTGAAAACCGTGAGGAAAGTGTTAAAGGAAGAGAGCTCAACATCTCTCGCGTGTCCGTTCGAATAATTTTGGTGAATATGTATTTTCGGTATGAAACGCCTTCTTGATCTGCTCGTTCCGATAAAGCTGATATTTTTCAAAAATAATACCATAAACAGTTCTCTTTGGACATGCTTGATCTTGCGAATTCCGATCTCAAATTCACGGAGAGCATTATAACTGCCGACTTTCTTGTACCCGAAATTGAAATAGCCGCTCGGTTGATTGAAGAGATAGAGCAAAATACGCTTAAGGAGATGCAGGCCAACCCAAAAAGTGCTTATGGAAAGTGTTTCGAGGAAGTGTCGTTGGCATAACAAATAACATTTGATAGGAATTAGTTTGAAGATGACAAAATAAATATTGATAAATAATGAAATATTTTACATTTTATTTACAATTTCCGGTTTTTTTTTGGCAAAATGAATGAAGGAGTTCAACAGGCAATGGTTAATTATTCTAACTAAACTTCTAAGATTTTCTCAATCTCTCTCTGAGCTTGCATAAAGAGGAGGAGGACTAATTGGACACATAGTTGTATTGGCGTAACAAGTTTTGTTTTTACAGACGAGTACATTTAAACTTCCTTTGTATGAACTCACTATTCCTAAACAAAAACAGTACATAATAAAAGGCTAAGTCACACATATTTTACAAGGCTAAGTAACACATATTTTACAAATACTGAATGCCATGAGTGTCTAACCTGATTTGCAGAGATATGTATTGGCTCTTTAAAATCAATCCAGCTCACATCCTCACTACAAGGGGGCGTAGTCAACGATCCTATATACGTATAATAATCGTCAATTCCAATGTGACTGAAATGCCAAAGTAATGGTGGATTACTGAACTTGGCAACCGTGCCTGGTTTGACTACATGCTCTAACAGCTCCGTGAACTCATCATATTGAAAATTATTTTTTCTTGTTATCTAAAAAAGCGCAATAAATATGAAAAAAAGCATTAAAATGAAACTGAAAATTGATGAATAAATTGAATGGTGAACCTTATAGAAATACGCCAAAACAGCCACACCATTACTCTTCGCCGCCGCTTCTTCGAAGTTGGGATACTTGGTATTCCTGAAAACCATATGCAACTCAGCTGGAAAAGAGACATTGTTGATGCGATCCTCACTGCCGAATGTATCATTATCGCCCCAGTGAAAATGTAACTGTTCGAAAACAAATTTTCCGACTAATGGACCACCCGATACGGTTGGACGTTCTCCGGCGTACTCAAGACGTACGACCACTGTATGGCCGTTGTTTAATATTTCAGCGCCAATTGTCTGTGAACCAAAATTGTCAGGAATTAGTGGCGGATAAGTTCGTCTGATCACATTCACAGAGTCAATGTTGATCGGACTTTGATGCTTGCCACTGCACGTACTGAACTGTTCACCCCAATGATCGGGTCCTATAAAGAAATTACAAATTTTTTACGTTGAGAAAATGAGTTAGACATTAACTAAATTAGAATTTCTTCAATAGTGAAATTAAAATATCATTTCTTCTAAATGGATGTGAGTAAGTTATCTCTTTACTCCTGTGCGATTAATAGCAATCAAATATTTTCAACGAAGCCTTTCCATTTTTGCTTCCCCACTTCCTGACATGGAGCTTGAGATTTCCTCTTGGGGTTGAACTAAAGTTGAAAGCTGTCTGATTTCTTTAAAAGAGAGGTATGGAGCGAGGAGAACTCTTTACATTGCTCTTTCCTTTTTCTTACGTGCACTGCCAAGAGGAATCATATCCGAGGAGCCGCGAGTAACCAGCAGTAAAGTTATATCAAAGAAGGGCCTATTGTAATATAAAGTTCCGAATCAGCTCCCAAAGTTCTAAATTTATGTCGTAGAAACGGGTTTTCCTTTTCCGTTGTCTGATTTTTCCATAAAAGAGATATCGTGTCTTGAGTACTCTTTGCATTAATCTTTTCATTTCCTAGCGCATACTGCCAAGAGGAAATATATCCAAGGATTCGCGAATGCAGTGAAGTTAGTTCTCTAAGTTCTACATTCATGTCGTAGCTTTTCCTTTTCGTGCTTGTTGTAGAGGCATAAAAAGTCGTCAAATTGTTTTGTGGACTGTTGTTGAGGGATCGTCCATGGTCGGATATATATGTATGTGTGAATCCAGGTATTCTTTTATTTACGCTTAAGTTGTATGGGAACACCATATTTTTTGTAATTTCGAAGGTTATTTATTTTTATGCAGAGCTTCTATTCTCTTAAGTACCTCTTTTGAAGCGCTCTCTTTCCTTATCTTGGCTAGAGAACTTGGATTTCATAATCGCTATTAAGACTGTCTCCCATATCTGGAGACATTTAAATTTAGTTGTTTGACTTACCCATTGCTCCATTGTAGGCGAAATCGTTTGCAAACGTCACACCAAAAACTGCAAAAAAAGTACAGAGACCACAAGATGTGAGTATTTTTTAGTTAAATAAGAAAGTCTACGCATTTAATTTGAAATTTTATTTACAGTTATTATTGAAAGAGTGATAATTTATCACGCTTGCAGACATCCGACGATGTTTTGAAGCTCAATTAACTGTATAATGTGGCGACTGCAAATAGCTTGCGCCATGACAGTGTTAAATTTGGAACTCAGTGATAAATTCAATTGTTTGCTACTGATTCTATTTTTAGGTAACATGTTCTTCTCATCAGTTGATTTGCTTATTATATAAATTGAATGAAATTTGCGAAATTCCTTTCCAAAAATATCCAAAAAAATCTCATTGTAGTGGATAGCTGGTTTACCTTGCTATCTTTAAAATTAGATTTTGGAAAGTCATATGATAGAAAATAAATAAATAAATATTCGAGTATCTTTATTCCTAATAAATAATAGTTCTTCTTTTTTTAGTTTTTTCTACCTAGGAGAATTTATTATGGATCAGTTGAAAATCAATAGGATTTGGTATCTTAGTACAGAGTTAATTACCTTGAAGAAATCCACATCGAAAAGTCGTCCATATACTTACTGTCTTACAAATATGGGCTTAAAAATGTATTTCAAAAAACTTGCATAAAGTTGGGGATCATGATAAACCTTGAACCTATTAATACGGAAAGACACTCCCATAGGAGCTGGTCAGCACTTAAACGAGGCGGACTAGCTTTGAGCGCATAGTTAACGAGCTCAGCACACTTCCCTGAAAGAGGCAGCACTTCATAGAAGTACGTCTACTAACACCTTGATAGCAGCCACATCGGCTTGATAAATACTACAGTGGTCTGATAGCCCTAAGTTAGGATTGACGAAGAGCTCTTTACAGCAAATTCTCTCTCCAACCTTCCCTCGTAGCTTCAACTCATCTGTGAAAAGGTTCACTGTGACTCTTCTAAAGCTTCTTCTATCTCCATCGACGGATATGTGCCTCATCGGTATGTGAGCAGAGGAAAATTCGCCACGAGTAGCCTCTGCCACACAATGATGCAAGTTTTCAGATATGAAGTTGACGGAGGAGAGAATTTCGACGTATAATTGAGAATCCTTCGGACTATACACACCGAAGATGCCGGTGATAGCTGATCTTCGGACATGTTTAAGCTTTTTAGCAAGTGTAGCCACCAGACTAATATACTATAGAATATTATATGATTGACTACGGTTTCGTAGAGACAAAGCACCACTTTTGGTGACAATTCCTACCTTTTCTCTATAGCTCCTCTATAGCAATATGTAATAAAGAAACCTATGTCTTCCTTATTCTCTCCTCAACATTTTGGCCTCCATGAAAGCTTTAATGTAGTGGAAAGCATAGTAGTAGCGAAGTTTATGGGTCTGGTTAAGTGAGGACAAGACGAAATATCTCTTTTCATCAAACAAACAGTCATGTCTGCGCTTTGGCAACGGCAAGTATTACATTCGGAAAGATAAGCTGTACGAGTTATACGACATTGACATAGTTCAGCGAATTAAAAGAAAAATTAAAGCTCAAACTATAGTTGCTCCGCTGACTAGGTCATGCCGTCCGATTGGATGAAATCGTTCAGATATTATCAGACAAATTTTGATACCAATCATATAATAACCGATTCAGAACAATTTTCGGATTTTTTGAAATTTTTTTATGACAAATATACGCTCGGAGGTACTCCATAACTTGAGGATAAGTGACAGCTTTTAGAAAAAAAAGGTTATTATTCGATTTAAATTAAGTTAAAAGTCCAACGTTGACCATGTGAACTATCTAAAATGGTTCTAGCTATATTTACAATTGTTTAAATTCTACCTCTAGAGAATTTTGTTATATAATGACTACCGAAGAGTAAGCGCAAATTATTGCCATTATAGCTTGTGCCTACTTTTTTACTAACTGTATGTACATATGTTTTAAGTTAATAGATCATACGTGCTATTAATAATACTGTTTACATGAAACGTTCAATTTCTATTTATTTCCGCCTGCTGTTGTCAGCTGTGAGTTACATAATACATACAAACATATGTAAATCGTGAGTATGGTAGTATATTTATTTAATTTTCATTAGAAATGTAATGTCGACGATTTAACTTTTGAAAAATCAGCACCGCTGGGCAATGGCATGACCTAGAAGCCGTCGCATGCCTGTTGGTTTTTGTTTACCACATTTAATATTGGTTTGAATTCCAGCGCGCATAGTGTTAGTTAATGTACGAGTAATTAGAGCAATTATATTCATACCGGCACACAGATCGGATAGCTATTTGAACCTATTTGACCCGGCTACTCACGAATGTGACTTAGAATTTTTAGACGGTGTAGTATCAGCTTTCTTAAAGTTGTTTATTCGCGATAACAGAGGCCAAAGTTTAGGAAATATTTCTAAGTAATAGTTCAATGCCAAAAATAGTCAAGATTCTCAAAACTCTTCTTATAATATTAACAAAATGACAGTGATGCTCAGGTGATGGTCCTTAGCCGGATAGAATCAACCAAACCGCCAAATCGGTTACCTTATTTAACCCGATTGTTGTGAGGCCAAATATTTTGGTCACATTATTTAAACGCTATATCAAGAAAATTCAAATAAGAGACTTACAAAGCATACCAGACTAATATTGGATGAATAACTAACAGGAAATTCTTCTTCTTTAATGCAGTTATAGTCGAGTTAACAACAGCGAGCTAGTCGTTTCTTCTTTTCGCAATTTCGCTCCAATTTGAGATACCTAGTGCAGCCATGTCTTTCTCCACATGGTCTCTCCAACGGAGTGGAGGTGTTCCTCTTCCTGTTCTTCCCCCGGCAGGTATTATGTCGAATTCTTTCAGAGTTGGAACGTTTTCATTCATCCGGGCGAGATGCCCTAGCCAGCGAAGTCGCTGTCTCTTGATTCGCTGACCTGTATATCCCGTTCCATCGATTGTGGTATTCGCCATTGCCAAAGTGTAAAATGCCATACATTTTCCACAAAACCATTCTTCCGACCACTCCTAAGGCCGATTCATCAGATGATGTCATATAGTAGCAGGACGGAATTAATGAAGGACTTATATAGTACGATCTTTGTTCATCGAGAGATGACTTTACTTTTCATTTGCATACTTACATACAAAGTAGCACTTATTGGCAAGAGTGAATCTTGAATTTCATGGCTTATATTTTTGTTGGTATTGATATCGGCTCCAAAATGATGACTGTTTGTTTGACGACAAGAGATTTTTCGTCTTGTTTTCGTTCACAACCAGACTCATACGCTTCGCTTCCATATCCAGTCTGGAGAAAACAGAGCTAATGGCGCCGCGGTTGTTAAGGCCAATGAGATCAATATCATTTTTATACGCCAGAAGCTATACACTCTTATAGAAGTTTGTACCTTCTCTATTTAGCTCTGTGGCTCATATTATTTTCTCCAGCAATGTATTGGAGAAGTCACATAGAATAAAACCTCGGTATTAGCTTTGCGGGGATGCCAAGTTGAGACATAGCGGCAAAGAGGCAATTCCTTTTCATGGTGTCGAAGGCGGCATTAAAATCGACAAAGAGGTGGTGTGTGTCGATCTTGCTTCCACGAGTCTTTTCCAAGAATTGGATCATGGTGAAAATCTGATATATAGTAGATTTTCCAGGTCACTGCAGCTTTAGCACTGATAAGATTCAATCAGCTTGTTGACGGTAGGCTTCATTCTTTCACACACTACGCTCCATAAGACCTTATATGCCCGGCCGGCAATCCATCAGTCACTGCTGGTTTGTTCTTAAATGTTCAAATTAAAATAACTGGACTTAACTGTCATGAACTTTATTTGTATTATTCCTCATCTAGGCTGATGCATCAATAGGAACAGAAGATCGGCAGTCGAAGAACCTGTCAGATCTATAAAACTATATCCACATATAACTAGGGGTTTTGAGTGAAAATAATGAATAAATGTAACGGCAAATAATCGTGATGAAAAATCCGTGAACTTTCTGACAACAAATATGGTCGTTTACGATTAATTGCTTCACTCAGACTCCTCAAAACGGCCAAGTGGCAATTCTGATAGACCGTACCGAATTAATGCATCACGATAATTCAAGTATCCACTTCTCATACCAGTAATGATGCATTTAAAGAATGTAGGATTCCCCTTGGATAAATTTGTGAAAATTTCTTTTGCGAAAGCTCGCCGCCATTTTTGTCAAAGATTCAGGCCTTGGTTGATATGCTTCATGCCCAAAACATTAACCCGAATGATAAAGTCGATACATACTACTGTAATTAAATTGAAAGATGAATTTTTAATTGGCATAAGTGTATTGCAGCGGGAGGGGATTACTTTGAATGAGATGAAATCGACAAATTTTACCTTTGACCACAGTAGTAAGAGGTCTAGGCATCCTCTACTTTCTCTATGACAACTACACAATTTTTTTCAAGTACTGTTTCTTTAACTTTTTCGATGTTATCGTCATTGAAAGAGGTGGCTGAATGACTCCCATGATCCCAGTTTTTGATAACTTCACGTCCTTCACGGAATACCTTGTGCCATTACAATATTCGGATTCCTCTAAGCTATAAGTGTGACATACGCTTTTCAGGATTTGCTGAACAAAATAAAAAGTATATATAATAGGTTTATAAATCTATCCGTGTTGCTTAGCTGAAACTCCTAACAGTTATCAAAAGATACGTGTTATCGTGTAAACAAAACAAGTTAATAGGTAAGACAGAGAAATGTACTTGTAAGTAGTTTATAAACGGTATGCGGGTATTAAAGACCTTAGGGTAACGAAAACTTGTATGACGATGAAGTTCGCTCGGTGTTGTTCAATCAAAATTGGGTTCAGCTATTCATTAACTCAAATTAACTAATTTAGGCAGAATACTGCTTGTATTATATATATGGAGTCACGAAATCTACATAGGGCTTTGTGAATATTGTGGCTGAGGAATGATGCCATCAATGAAGCATGTGCTTT